CATCTAAAGCATGAAGTACCTGTACATTTTATGTAACCATGCATGGTATCAGTTGTTGGTGTCGATACATATACTATATATAGAGATAGACAGAGAGAGAGAGCAAGGTCGTCACAAGTTGTCTTTAAACTCATTGACGGACCTATTCCGTTTTAACTTTGCTAGACCTAAGTGATTCATGTCAGTCAGCGGTCTGCTATTTGTATGGTAAAGATTGTGGACCACAAAAATAGCAAACCTCACAGGAATATGACTTTTGGGTGCAGGTTTAGACTGATCTCAAATAATCAAATGAGCCAAAAAACAGCCACTCTACCATGTGTATACGAGGTTCCGATAGTCTAACTGTTAACTCTTCCAGGAAATGATGAGCACATAAGTAAGGATCCACGAAAACAAACATTCAGATCCATTGGCTACGGTAGAAATCAGAGGATTTTCCATTTCTGATGTCCACTCTGAATGCTATTCCTAGGATTATGTAGCAACGCGTACAGGATGTGGCTTAAAAAGAAATTCCTATGTACAGAGGAATGCCGAACAAGTATACCTCTATCTTATGAAGAGCATTCAAAGCACGAGCGTGAGAGTCCACTATTTAGAACTTGCTAGACAGCATAACTTGCTAAAAATATCACCGAGTCGTTTTATAATTCATGCATATTAGGCTTGGGACATTTTTCTAGAGAATCCCGCTCCCCTAGTACATGTATTCCAAAAGTTAAACATTCAAAGAGTCATCTACATTACTTACTGTGTACCGATACTGGGGTTGGCAAAAATTTATGTCGCGCCATATTTGTAGAATTGGTGTTTATCCGTAAGAGATTTATCAGATCTGCTTGTGTTGACAGTGCATTAATCAGTCTAATGCACCATCGCCATTATTGGTTTTCGTAGATTGCTAAACATTATCTAGGGGGCACTCGGTGCAGTCTCTACGCAAGTGCTAAGAGTGGTTCCCCCCCTAGTCACCACCTTGCGTACGTCTAGCATGAGTGCTTCCACCGGTTTTATTGAGTAATACTTGGGTCGGCTCCATAACATTTTTGACTCCCATTCGAAAACTTTCCACTCATTTGTGTCGCTTTCAACTGATTACGGGACAGTTTTGAGTGGTGTTGCGCAGGCCAACTGACACTCAGTTGCAAAAGATGACCTAGCCTTGTTTACTGGCATTTACAGTGAAATGCAAGCCCATAAATGGATGTCACCAATCGAGTATCGTGGGGCAAAAGCATTGCGAAATGGTCACGGTATTTGTTTTTCTCAAGATTCCATCCGACACACTCATGTAAACTACAATACCGAGCCCCGAGACGCAAAGTTGTTAACATTGTTAGTACAGTGAATGTTATTGAAAGTTTATCGCATTAGCTCTCTGAGTATGCATTTATTCTTATTCCGATAAACTTCACTCCGGGTGTTTCATAAGGACTGCAACGTACTGCTTTCTAAACTCCCGGTTAACGAGTAAGCAGTTGTTCAGGAAATAAGGCGAACAGTGTGACTGTAGGAATTGCTTGGTTCACTGACAAACTCGTGTTTCTGCGTTGAACATCGGTGCATTTCAATGCGTTGAAAGTGGTCGGGCATCAAGTGATGCAAAACAGGCGCTGCTGCTACACCGATATTCATCATAGTCGCATTCATATGGACGGTCAAATGTTTAATGACAACCAGATGTTTGAAACCTACCGCTAGTGAAATGGACTTCCGGTAAAAAGGAACGCGCTACCTACGTCTGAAGATCAGTGTGAGGCAACCAACCCCATCGCTGTCACGCATATAGCGCGGAAACGTTACTAAGCTCAAACACTGTGACTGAACCAACAGATAGGCATGAAAACCTGATTGAATTGATTCATTCATCGACGTCTCCACTGTACAGCTGGTGTCAGATAACTGCAAGGAAAGTGCCAGAGAGCCAGTGTTTTGCGTGTGATAACAGTTGCTTCCTTAAGGCACCGGCACTGTACCATGGAATGTAAATTCCGCAGGCATTATTTAATTTGTGGCATCCTCAACGACACGGATACACTAGTTTAGTTGCGAATGTGCAAACGCCGAATCAGGAGTTTAGTTTTAGTGCTGCCACTTAAGCTGAGTAGGTCACACAGGCCCACCTTAATATCTAGACCATAGATGTATCTGTCTTCGTGCTTCACAAAGCAGTTTATTATCAACGCCACCGACGAAATATTCTCAATCAGTTCATGTGTAATAGTCTCTAAACGTTGCCTGGCACCATTCGTTGTTTATGCAGAGACGCTTCAGTTTTATCAAAAGTTTGCTGAGATGGAACAGCCGTACACGACAGCTAGGAAAAATGGGAAACCCGAAGGCGAAAGATCTCTTTAGTAGGCATTATGATGCACAAGAGCAGACCGAATAGTGGTATCTCCTCATCTGTACACTTTTCCACAAATTGACATGCCTGTTACTATGTTCCACTTTAAAGCCTTATCTCACTATGATGGGGATCTCGCATTGCTCCCCGCTACTTTCACTGAATTCGCCTCAGCTCACCTCCGCAATACCGACAGTATGCAGCACGTCACAGCCGATATCACCTCATTGAAACCTCTGTTACATGTGAACGCAAAGTGTGCAGACCCCACCTAAGCTCTTCACAGTCGATAGTGAAGCATATGAGCACACCCCCCGTGACACTGCTGTACCCACCGTACCGAACCATACCGAACTTAACTGAGTTTTTCTCAGGACACTAACACGCATGCGCCGTGCCAGGACCCACTGTCCTCTACATTTGTCTTACACTGCTATACTATCCAGCTGTAAGTACGATGCTGTCGAGCAACAACTTATGCATTTCGAATGTATGAGTTATTTTTGGCTGAGTCAGTAAAAGACTAGTCTTTCTTTTCTGGGTCTCGGTGTAGTCGTGCGAGGTTACGCGTTTTGTCCTCAGTTTCAGCTCGCGTGTACAACTCCTGGCGGCTAGGTTCTTTAGGCCGTAGCGATCCAAATACAACTGGCTACTTTGCGCGTCGGGTACGATGGTTGAAAAGCGTTCCGTTCGTTCCGGCTAGGAGTTGAAACAACTAGGACGTGTCATAACGAATTCACTGCAAACCTGGAATAAGATCTACAAAGAACATTGCCCCAAACAGGTCCACTACACTAACATTTTGCAAAACAGTCTTACGGCCACCCAAAATAGATGATTCATTGGCTAGATTAGTTAGCTGTACCATATTCGCGGAATGCATTTTCGCATGGGTAGATTCGCTTATGAGCAGTTCATGCTTGACAGTCCAATGCTAGACTCGTCCGTGAGGACACTAGACATCAGCCCGTTGGTAATAAGTATAGTGCGCGAATCTAACAGCCATCCCTAATGTATGGTCACAGGCGGGGCCAACACTTCTTGGTTGGATAAATAAACGGATGATGTCCACAAGTCACTGCCCGCAAAGTATTACTCATATCTGCTGGGACTGTGTATAAGTAATAAGAAAGTTAGCCACATTGCATTAGGTGGCAAGGCTTTTGCGACAAACTGGCTGTGTCTTGCGTTTCAATCGCATGCTTTCCGGTCACGCACGTTACAGTACGCACAGCTGACCAAGATTCTACCCAAGTGAGTGCGTTCCCCAGGGATCAAACGACCAATTGACTTGGAATCATACGCTCATATTTTCTTACTTGGTGGAAGTGTAGAGTCCGGCTGCATAAGTCAAAATAACACTGCTGCTTTTGCATCTATGGTCATTTATCTTCGATTGGTAGTGCTTTTATGCAAGTGCTCTGATGTTCACGATGTAGAAGCCGACCGATCAAATACCTTTGCATCAGCTGACCACGGAATACTGCACAAACATTAACTGAGTTCAAGCACCTGCAAGCTCGCTAGTTTGCATCATGCTTTGTGAGCTCATAATCCTCACTGATCCTATGTGAATATATCTGTGTTTGGGAGTTGAAGAGCTCCGTGGTTGCAATACTAAATGGGATGCTGTGAGACACTAGAAATCATCCACACATTAATTGTAGATATTACTAAGTGAAATCATCGGACCAGTAGTGATTGTTTCAGAGTCACCAAAACGTTGCAACTTGCGCCTGCATTTGTACCCGGCGGTTACAAGAATCATTCACATCATTGAAAAAGAAGAATAACCAGGTAGTAGCATGAAATGTAAAACATTAAACTCTCCGTCCAAAAAGACGAAGTATTTCGCGAAATATGCAATAAGATAGCAGTCATCATGACTGGCATCAGTCGAAAGACACGGTAGCTTAGTAGAGTAGGCGATTGCAGAAAAGTTACAACGTTTCTACCCCTGTCCGCTTCTATAGACGTGAGATAGTCTCTACAAAAAGTACTTTTCTATTTGGGATAACTGAGCTCGGTGATCTCCGTTGCCCAGCAGCTTATGCCTCCGTACTTGTAACTTGAAATCCGGAGCCACAGTATACTTCTCATTCCGATCCACGGTGAGTAGAATGGAATAGGGCCAACAATATGAGAAATCTTGATTGCGGAAGTATTGCGTTAGTCTCACTAGCACCATTGTAAGGCCTTGCTTGCGATGGTGAGCACAGCAAGGCCTGTGTAACAAGTATCCAGCACTAGGAGATAATTCCTGCATAAACTAGACCGCTGGCAGGTATAGCTGTAATGGAAACCTGATAATGGGGATAGGTTCATGCGTTAGAGGACTACTAGAACACGGTGTTCTGGATATGAGTCGGTCAGTTTAATACGTTCTCTGTGCGTCATACGGATGATAAAAGCTTCCCGCAGAAAATTCGATTGTAACCATAAAACTGTTGCCACTATTTCACATTGCATTCCTGCAATCCACAGATAAATGAAGAGCAACAATCCGATCAAAAAGCGATTTACTGACTGACTGAGGGTAGAAGGTTAAGTGGACCACACGTCCATTTTGCGACTTTCTGATCAGTGTATGTCAGACGCTCCCATAAAAGCCAAAAGACGACAATCATACTTCAATGTGGTGGTAACTTACACGAATTTCCTTCAACTGAGCGATTACCCGATGCTTCTTTATGACTGTGTAAATTGACCGGATGAGTCTGACAATCCCGTCCCCATAAATTTGAGGCTATATGGAAAATGAAAAGGATGAGTGGCATGATAATTCAAGATATATATATATATACCCAAAAAACAGAAGTTAATACGAATCAAAGTAAAAAGCAGCTAAATAGATGTTTCGAAGCACATAAATGTAAGGTATTGGCGTAACATTCGGATGTCCGTCCAAGCTGCTAGTTACAGCACACAGACGAAAAAACAGGCTTCAAAATTCCGGTGAATTCCTCCCTTTGAAGAACAAAGAATACTGCAAACAGCCAGGACTGACTTGCCCGTATGTGTTAGCAGATGTTCTCACCACCACAACAGCTGAGCAACTGGTGAGCGTCAAGAATACAACCGTGGAAGAAAACGAAACTACACTTGCATCTCAGCGAACCACGCTCAACTATCATGTAAGCAAAAGAAGAAAGCCAAGCTTCCCAACATCAATTCAGCGTCTCCGTCTCCTACTGCCACAAACCATGTCACTTCCCTAAGTAAATTGTCGTTCAGGAATTGCCGGCTTCGAATTTCTAAAACGATGTAGCAAACATTAATTCACTTGCTATATTTGAGAACCAAAACGATAGCCAATTCACAGTGAAAAACTATAGGACATAGAAATAGATGGATGTTGCTCTTTCGAACACTGGCACACCACAACCGCGGTTTCGTCCTGGTTCGGACCCCCTCAGGTGGAGATAGCCTGAGCTGGGATGGAACACAGAGCCTAGTAGTTAATGGCTGACGCCATGAACACTATGCTACTGAGATCCGCGGGCAACGCTTGGCACAACGGAACATAATTCAAAGCAGAAGTTAGGGAACAAGCTGTGTGGTTGGGTTGCGACTCGCAACCTTCATAGAGACCTTGGTTCACGTTGAGGTAAACCTCGGTCACTTCGATCTCAAGGACCGCATATGGAATGGAAATAGATGGGTGTTGCTCTTCCAAACACTGGCGCACCACAACCGCGGTTTCGTCTTGGTTCGGAATCCTCAGGTGGAGATAGCCTGAGCTGGGGTGGATCTCAGAGCCCGGTAGTACACGGCTGACGCCATGAACACTATGCTACTGAGATCCGCAAGCAAAGCTTGACACAGCGGAACGCAACTCAAAGTAGAACTTACGGAACACGCTGACGAGTCCAAACCAGGAGGAAACCGCGGCTGTGGTGTGCAGTGTTGGGAAGAGCAACACCCATCTATTTCCATCCCTGATACGATCCTTGAGATCGGAATGACCGAGGTTTACCTCAAAGTGAACCGAGGTCTCTATGATGGTTGCGAGTCGCAACCCAGCCACATAGCGGGTTCCCTAAATTCTGCTTTGAACTACAGGACATCATACGAATCTGCTGCTGCCTGGAAAAGACCAGAAAAGGCGCCCGTGACTGCACTTACCAGACTTGACAAAACTAAGGTGTTGCAGCGTGGATTGCTATCACCAGTGCCGCCCACAAAATCACAAATATTAATAGGACCTAGCGTTTTCAAGCCTCTACCCAACAGGTGCAATCATGGTGCCTTAAGTTTTGTGTGCACTAACCTTCCTCAATCTAAAGCAAATAGAATAAATGGTAGACTGATAGGTGATCATAATCAATGGCACTCCACCTGTAAACCCATCGGTGTACTTGCTGACCCCACTACACTGAAACGCACCGCTCGTGCGCCAAAGCCACTGCACTTTGGTGAGCCTCGATTACTTCGAGTAACCCTAAATTCCGCGCATGGGACGGAAGTCAATGTGCTGTCTGTGGATCGATTTGGCAATACAACAGACGGAGTGCGCATACTACCGGACATCCCGTGGAAGCAACGCTCAAAGGGTATGAATTACGAAGAGATAATCCAAAAACAGGATAAGAAAACCGTCGTTACTCACTGTGTTCCAGGGTCCTAAGCTTCTTTTAAACGCAGAAGCACAGGCACATGAACAGGAGTAGGAGCAATTGCAGATACATTCGTGAGACACTTTTTCTAGAAAATATCGTTGCTATTGCGTTGACAAGGATTGCCATGTCATTTAATTTCAATGCATGCGGTCCTAGGTTGCTAAGCTTGGTTTTATCTTCTCAGCCAATGACAGACCATTCTAGAGAGCTGTGCTAAGTACCGAAAGATGATGCCAACAGCAATTCGACTGAAGACCGCAGAGACACCAACACGGGCTATTGATAAATCAATGTGATGGCAAATTCAGAGAAAAGGCCCCTTGTGGAGTCCAGCACAGCGACCTGCTTAACAGCCGTCATAACATCCGAAGCAACACCGCAGCATGTGACTTACCATCATTCCATGGAGTGTTGGTGCAGCAATGTATCCCAACTTTATCTCCAGCGCCGGTGACTCCTCAACAATGAGTAGCAGCCGACATCACGAGGGCCGGCCGAGTCTCAACGTCGCCGTTTACACCTTCCATAAAGCTTTTAACGTATAAAGCACTCATTTGATTTCATACCAACACACGTCTACACAGCAAACCGATAGAGCTCCGTACGTGTCAGCTCTTCTTTTAGTCTGACCTCATAATGGTAAATAAGAAATAGAGAGTGAAGATCTCACTGACGCAGAAGTCGTACTACCTAGATTGTCCATCCTGCGCAAGCTAGACCGAATAGAGGAGGTAGTGTATTATTTTATTACCGCAGTGAGCTATATATAGATCACATCGACGACCAAGAGGTCCAGATTGTAGACATGCTTTAGTGCTGTCTTCACCTAAGACGGGGTGACACATGTTTAAGGGGTGTCGTGCACGGCCCTCCGTCGTCCAGTTCAGAAATGGAAAATCGCTTAGCCTCCGCGATATAAACTATCCTCGCACAGTCACACAGTCACATTCTCACGGTTGGTAACCTCAGACTTCCCGCTCTAGAATTACAGGAGCTAATCATTTGATCAAAAATTTATACCAATTTTACTAACCCCACAAGATCCAGGACGGGGAAAAACCCAGTGCATCGTATGTCGGGTTCACTAACAAGGAGCTTATCATCGAAACGTTAGCGATAGTTAGTCCTTTGGGCCACAGCGATCATGCAACATACCTGTTCAACTACGTCTATCACGTAGAGGGTTCCGCAGAATGCGCTGACTTCTCTCAGCTGAGTACCGATTATGGTGTTCTGACTAGACTCATTAATGCAACCGACTGGTCATTTCTAGGTGACCCTTACCCCATTGTCGCCTGGTGTGATTTTGTTGATCACTTCAACAAGTTAGAAACTAATGCCTCGGGGAGCAAACCACCACGCGCGATGACAGTAAAGGCATTCATACGCATCAGGACTCGGAAGTGTATGTTCGCACTGGATTCATTCTGGCAAAGCTACATGGAATCAGCGGGTGCTGAAAGTTGGGCAGCCTACACTATCCAGCGGAAGCATTGCCGGAACCTGGTACGCGAGGATAAACTAAAACATCAGCGGGATCTAGGTGAGAAATCCTGCTCGAAACCAAAACTCGGTTACAGACATTTTAACAAAATCAGTAAACTAAAGCGAGGGATGCCTACTCTCTATACACCATGTGCGCCAGCACAAACTGCAGCAGATGTAGCCAGCGCTCTATGTCAGCAATTCTCCCCATACATCCATAGCACGACTTTACTGCCTACTCTGTTCACACGAGTTTTATAATCGCCAGGACAGAGCCATCTCTCGTTTCTAAAATGTCTAAGTTCCTTACGCGAGCATACCTCTGCTGGCGTTAATAATATCTGCCCAGAAGCGTTGAAGTTAGCTGCCATGAACTTGTATTCACATCCTCATTTCTTCGACGACGCCTTGACAAGATGCGGGTTCCAGCGATGTGGAAACACGGATGCGTCCATCCCATTCACATGGGGAATTCGCTCAGATCCGGCCAACTATCGTCCGATAACAATCTTTCCGATGCTCTGCAAATCCATGGACTCTGTTAGTGCCGAAACATTCATGCATTACTTTGTACGATGCAATATCATAACAGCAGAACAACATGGATTCAACCAGAACCGGTCTTGCACCAGAAACCTGCCATTTGATCGCTCCAGTTAGGCCGAAACCACCGACAGCGGTGTACGATTTGGCGCAGTTTATCTGAATTTTTCCAAAGCGTCTAACCGTCTGAACCAAGGCACCCTCATTCACAAACCTCAGTGCTATGGGATTAGTGACTCATTTCTCGGTTGGATAGGTAAATTCCTGAGTGCGAAAGCTCGCGGCGCCATCTGTGTCCCGATGAATGTTCAGTGCGGAGTGACACAGGACTCAGCACTTGGTCGACACCTGTTCCGAATTCACACAATCGATCGCGTGAGAGTGATTCCTTCCAATTTCTTACTCTTCGCTGATCATCTCATGATTTGATGGGTCGTCAAAACAACGGGTGACCCCGTGGCGCAGCAGAATGTTTCTGATACGACGCACTAATGGGTGACTCAGAATCTGCTTCATTTCAGCGCCACCAGGTGAAAGACACTGAGAATACGCCGTCAATCCAGTTGCGAGTACAGACTGAATGCGACCTAGGAGTGCTAGTGCAAGGTGTTCTTAGCTGTTCACGTTATGCTGAAAACGCATCCAAAACCCAACCAAAACATTAAGCTTTTGCGGAGGGCATCTGGCCGTTTTGATCCCTAATATTTTCTCAGATGCGTAACGCTTACGCTAAGCTTCATTCCGAATACGCCATTCACTCCTGTCAGTTCTGGCGACAGCATGAACACGTCGCACTTGAAATGCCACAAGGAAGCGCGACCAAGAATATAAAGCGCCCGTTTCAACTCCCTTATCAACTGAGGCTGGAAACTCTCGAGGTTAACAGCGCACAATATTGACGCTTACGTGGCGATTTGGTAGTGACAGATTTGATCTTGAGGAATACAAATCATGCTTGTCTTCAGCTTTTGCAGCTGAATCACAATACAACTCTAAGAGGTCACTATCTAAAGCTGACCATATAATATTATAGCCAGTTGGAATACCGCCAGAAGTACTTGGTGTGCGTCAACCTTCGAACACCCACCCCACTTACGTCGTCTCTTCATCTCTAATGAAGCTATTCCTAAGACGGTTTGCTATGGAGTGGGCAAAAGCGGGCTGCAGCCAACTACTGGAGACTGCAAGCATGTGTGAACGGGAGTGGACAATGGACCGTCAATCGGCCAAGCGACCTATCGTCGGATTGGAAGTCAGCGGTGAGGACATGTGATCTGTAAATATAACCATGCTTCGGTCTGCCAAATTTTAGGTTCTGTTTTCCCTGGCTGGTTGGACGGAACACCAGGCTGAGAGTGGGGGCATTGCGGTATTACAACGTTGAGCCACCATAATTATCTGACGGTTGCACCTACTGAATACAAGCGAACTTCACCACTGTTGCTCGTGATTTATTGCCACTCATGGTGCACTCTTTGGCGATTGATCAAAGTCCAGCTCAACACAGAGAAAAGGCTGCCCACAACAGCGGCGAACCTCAACAAAAGTGACAGCAAGGCGACAGACAGAGTATGTGTGAGGCAAGCAAGAAGCTAATACGGGATCCTTCCACTAGTGCGACTGATTGCATGTTTGATGCAACAAAAAATATACGCCTAATCGGCGACCAATTAATAAGCATATAATTAGGCGAAAACACTGGGGACAAGGTGCCAAATGGAAAATATGAATGTTCCTCTTTAACCCAAATGTTGCTCTGTTGAAATGCCGACAAACAGAAAATCAATGCACGAAGCGAAGAATAAATGCTTTATAGCGCTTGAGACACATATTGGATATATTAGAAGCTTAGAAGTTCATTTTGGTGTGTGTCAGGCTGCAACCGTGGCTACGCCATTGCTAGGAAGTCCAAATAATTTACAATTGCCTAATAGAGGCTACTAACGTATGAAAGTAATAGTGGACTAGCCCAAAACGTTATATTCAAATACCCATGTCAACGCCGCCACTGGGGATTTTTCGAGAAACAGAAGCAGCTACGTGTTGCGTGTCCCACAGTGGTGCAACTGGTAACTAACTGCAGTGAGATGACTGGAGTATTCCAAGTGGAAGTGCCAGCCGACTGTTGGTTTACCGCGAGAAGTTCTGTTACGACAACTGCAATAATCGTAGTCATTACAATGGTGGCAACAAGTGCACCTGATTGTTAAGGTAAACAGCAAGAAAGCGACATCGCTTTGCAAATTGTCGGAAACATTTAAAGATCTTAACCGTGGGCACTTATTAAACAACTCATGTAAAGTTTTCTGGCTGATAGTATCAACAAGCATTCGTCGTGCCCATGGAAGCCTCGAGTCCTCAAGGGAACACTGATACATCATGTGCATTCAGTTCACTTGATATGGCAGTACATACACAGTTTGTTGAGGCAACCGTCCTTAACTAGACGTAGACATAAGGTACTGTACTGGAATAACGTCCAACCCGATGACATACAGCCTATTGGTCGCTGAATTCCACTCAATGCTATGGCCATATCTGGCGAGCAAGTATTTCGAATGCTGAATGACAGAATAAACATATAATCTGAGTAAATGCCCTCGTGGTTCACTTGGTTAAACTACCACAATTGATCATTACTGAACCCGACACCTTATGCTCATTAGCAAGAGTACATAAGAGCCGTTCGATGACCTTCCGAAATTACGCCGTTCAGGGCCTTTTTTCTTTTGTAAATGGAACGATAAAATGGCGCCTGGCAGTACCTATTCATAGGTCTTTGTTTTCACTCTACGCTTCATAATCCCTCCTATACAACATTGTATTTACCTGCTTCTCCCTTACACGATCATTACACCACCGAGAAAAGTGAAGCTTCAAGTGTCAAACGCTGCAAATGAAGTTATATAACAAGTATAGAATCTGGTACGCTTCGTCGCGCCCAGCTCTCGGAGTTTACTACCCCATCAGCGACTGATTTTGTTGTTTGTCCACATTTTTAATTAGATGCACCTTTTACGGGATCTAGTCGGCAAACTGCGCATCGGCGCGCGCGCATGTACTTAATGGTACTTGAATTGTCATTCGCTCAAAATCATCTGATAGCACACAGATGAGGCAGCGTAGAAACGGGGATCTTATGATACGATCATTCGATTTACACCTGAAACATCTGGATGGGTCCAACATCTACACGACAATGGGTCTGCAACGCGCATGTGCTACGTGGGAGAAGAGTTGCAAGCGAACATACTTACAGAACAGGCATCGATGTAGTGCTTTCTTTGCTGCCATTCGGGTGAGCACCATTTGCTTTGGCAATGATCCCTGAGTGCGGATACATACATCAAAACGGCTGACCGGCTGTTTGCAACTGAGTATTTTTCAAAGGAATTGAGAGCAAAGAGTCCGATGTGTCTTTTAGCAATTCGCTGTACATGTCCCGTAATAATTCATTAGCAAAAGCCGACAAGATAAGTAAGTAAATCAACAGCCGAACAGTCTACGCTGGCCACTAGAATAGTGAGATGTGATGGGTGAATACTGCAGACAACAGTGGCAACGAATCTAGCACAGTAGCAAAATTCACAATAAGCGTATTTGGTATATTGGTGGTGAGTGGCACCCGCTAGTGAACGTGCTCAACACTGACGCTGGAAACATCCACAAGATTTGGCTTATAAAGGAATCGCGTTAACGCCCCTCCCTACATTATACCCAGTTCCATCTACAAACTACAAATCCATTGTGAACCAGTCGGATAAAGATCTGCAGGTAGATGGAGTGGAGCAACAGATGTTTCACAGCTGACCAACACAACAGTAAAATATATATCACCTACAAGCTGCTGAATCAGCGCAACCATGCTCCTGAGCCATGGCAGTGACAAGAGGCGTGATGAGCATCCCAGCGACACACACAGACGTTGCGGACGCTGGACTTTCGTGTGTCACATGCGTGAAATGAAGCACCGCATCAAAACGAATAAACGAATCCGTGAATGAGATAAGAGACTGAATCTTAATACGCGTGCTGACACTGGCCCAATTACTTCGCTCGTTTCTCACGCCTTAGGCGTTTCGTGATAATGTAGATGATATGATGAGCTTGCTCAGCTTAGATACGCACGAGGACGATGAATATGAACTTGCTCACATCTGCTATTTGTATGTCAACGAAGCATAAATGACATGACATCTAAACACATCGTAAGTGAACCCAGAGATTACTGCTGTTCTCTTCACACATTTTGTTTCGTTTGTATGAATCAATGTTTTTCGAATGGCATGCTTTCAAGGAAAGTAGTGCAAATAAGCAGTACATTTGGGTGTTAACAGACCACCGTCTCTGACTTCAACAATCAGCTCCCTGCTCAACCTATATTTGAATATGTTTGCGGATTCTAAGCAAAGTTAACCCCAAAAGACACGTCGGATGTGAAACTCCTTATCCATAACTCTTGCTTAATGACTGTGAAGGAATGCTGAACGGTTAGATCTCACATGGAATGTTCTCGTTTCATTTCATTCCAAAAACACATAAAAAGTCAAAGTTTGTAGGATACGTTTGCCGACAAACCTTCGAAAAGCAATGCTCCAGTAGTTTCGGAAGTGTTCGATTCAACCGACACAGTAGTGATTCCAATGCTTTGCTTGATCTCATTGATTCATGTCCCCATTCTACCAGTGGTAGAACTTCGAAAAAGTACCGCTGTAGTGATGATCTGAACAAGAGATCCGGATTGGCCGGTAATTGTTTTATCATTGATTGGACAATTTCAGATAACCGCTGTGGATCGGCAGGGGGTAAGGAGAACAAAATTGCAGGAAAGCAGCACTTTCGTCACCATAAAACAATATTGTGCTACTCGATGTTACCTAAAATGTTAAAACAGTTCACTTAGTGGTATGGAACGTATTATCCAGGACGGGTTGTGAATCGTTCACAAGCTGCAAATGTGTCCCAACGGGTCGTGATGACACCGTTCAACATCACTTTTATAACCTAAGTGAGGTAGGGTGTTTCTAGTAGTACCAAGTGAGCTGAGTATACATTTGAAAACTAAATGTTTTTATCATGTCGGTTTATTGTACAATTCCAGCTTTCATTTCAGCTAAGCAGTGCATTCCATGCATCGAACGTTCGCGTGTAATTGGTCCATTGGCTTCCTTAACCGCACGAAAGAAGTGATCTTGGCAATGATGTCCATCTGATACTCAAAATCCACTGACAACTGTGTTTCCTTGATTGGTACCTTGACCATTGCTCAAAGACGTTGTTGTGTTAATGACCGAAATCATTTTTGTTACGTCTGTAAATAGTTCACTAAAAAGACGTAGTGCAGACCAATTTTTTCACTACTGAATTCTGCCTACCATCCATATTTCGGGATAAGTTGTTGGCATCTCGGTTACAGCAGTGACGCTTACTTGCTATAAACACTAAGCTTACTGTATACAGAAAGTGAAGTGTTAAATTGTCCGATTTCGATGACACGGGAGAAACCTTTTGTTACTGTTCTGAACTGGAATGGCTGATGATGGAGCTTGACGTCAGGCATATCAGCGATGGATGGCGTTTGTTCATTGACTCGCTCAAGATTAATCTTAAGGTCATACTACCCCACAATGGAAATACGTACACAACTGTACGTCTGTTGCATGCTAACAAGATGAAGCAGACTTACGAGAATATGCAGAGGATACCCGCTGCACTGAACTACGATAAGGATTGTTGGAACATCTGTGCTGACCTTAAAAGTCATTGGACCCCTAATAGGCATGCGAGGAGGTTTCACAAAATGTTACTGTTTTTTGTGCTAATGGGGCAGTAGTCATTCAACAGCATTACACAACAGAAAAGTGGCCGGAGAGAACGGAGTATGCTACTGGGACAATGAGTGTAAGCATACACTACTGTGCAACCTGATCATGTCTATCTACCACCCCTGCACTTCAAGCTTGGTTTGAGATAAAACTTCGTCAGGGCCCTCAAGCAAGATGTCTTTGCGTTTCAGTGCATGAAACAAATGTTTCCGAAGATTAGTGATGGGAAGTTTAATGAAGGGATAATTATTAGGCCTGATATTCGCCGAATAAGGCCAGACAATGTTTCGGAATGTCAGTTAATTTTATTTGAATTAGAAGCTTGGCGATCATTCAAGGCAGTGTGTACAGGATTTTTGGGCAGAACAGAGGCAGAGGACTACAAAGACATTAAAAGACAGCTCATTGCGGACTATCGAACTTTCGATGCTCGAATGTCACTCCGTTTGCACTTTTTGCATAGTTACCTTGGGCTTTTTCCTGAGAACTTCGGATCTGTTAGTGATGCACATGGAGAGCGCTTTAACCAAAACATGTCAGTCATGGAGCAGTTCTTCAGTGGCAAGTACACACCTTCTATGATAAGTGACCTTTCCTGGCTTCTGCAGCTTCAGGGCATTGGATCATACAAGCAACGATCTCGGCGAAGTCATCATTTCGCAGTGCCAAGCTGCAGTCAGTGGTTAGGTGCGAGTGCAGCAGTGACGTTTTAAGCGTATTTGGCACATGCATTCATACTTTTATAATTAATGTGATGTAATCGAACTGTAACTCGCACTAGCTAGACTGGACATTACATTAGATTGTAACCATGTAACCTGACATGCTAGGTAACATCAGAATACATTTCTACCAGCAGTGAGATATATTCTATAAAAGACATCTGCATTTCTGTTATAGAAAATAAATCTCTGTTATTCAGTGTTGTTAGTGTATATTTAAAAGTGAGCACATGTTACATCTGCTTGCGGTTTGCCCACTCACTTTGCTCGCAGAACGACTGCATAAGTCTACTGAAGAAGTAACGAGAGTATGTAACCGCTTGTATTTGTATTTTACTCTTTAATTTGTTAATATACTGCAGAAGATGACATGCTTCAACATATAAATTAAGCGTGGTTTAATTATCCGAGAACTAGGTGGTACCAAGAAAATGTAGTGACACATCGCACGTGAAGTTATCCAAGGAGAAATCCATTAAGGACAAGAAGTTGGACAATAATCTGGCTCGGCTGAAATGCATGTTAGTTAAATGGGGATTGTATGTTGGACAGCACCGTCAATGATCGGGCTGCCAGTCCACCTGTACGTCACTACAGCGGACATCACAAAGGTGAATTAGCCATCAGATCTCGTGGTGCAACAATAAGAGCTTGCCTCTTGCTGTTAGGTGTGTGTCAACGCAGTTTACGTGGTATATCACCCGTACACCTCATAGGTGGACTCAGCGGTTATTGCCGTTCTCTCCACACAGCCTTTGTCGCCTGCGGCCTCAACGGCACCCATGGGAAAGGCGCAATATCCCACTCGCATCGAACAAGCGGTTAAAGAAGTCAGTACTGTTTTATAAGAATTGGCGATTAATTCGAATGTCCAAAGTGAAATTCATCATAGCCACAATTACCCTACGGTCCTCGGACACGCGTTTCTCTAATAAAACTCGCCGACAGCAATTTTTTCCAATTTTTCTCACCTTGCAACTGCGATCCTTCATCCTTGCTGTCCGGAGACAGCTTAAGAAAGCTTTCGCGCTTGCAACCGAGTTGTTACACAAGGCTCTTTAAGAAGTGCGCTAGAATTTGTGCTTGATACGTAATAATACCAGTTGTTGATAAAATACAGTATCATCACTATACACTTTTAAACAAAGCGAGCTTGAAACGACTTGAAATAGTAGTTATATAGGGGCTTTCATCAGATGGCAAGACTACTAAATGAATAGACTTACCAAATGCGATTTGGGATCTAACAGCTCGGGAACCTTCTGCTTTTCACCTAACTCAACCAGTCGATTGGAACAAACTGAAAGAAAGTCACAGGATAGCTGGAGGATCGTTTCTTTCGGTTCACTGTACGCTCTGGCCGAAGATGTAGCACGGCTGGAAGGTTCACTTTTGTTCATATCCGACCACTCCACAGCCGCTCGATCTCGTGCACCTGGACCAAACGGGCCTGAAAATGCTACTTCCGACGCGGGTTTGGAATTGCGCTTTTTCGCTGCCGCCAGAGTAGAACGAGTCAAGCTTTGTGTGATGCGACCAGTTAAATACTCTTGACGACGTTCACTTGGACCACCTGGTGGGTACGCGGAAAGAGTGTGCGTATCTTCTGCTCTCCTGGCAGAGCAATGAGGCAGACACGGTCGTGTCGTTATTAAGGGTAATCTTGAAAAGCGCATTTAATTGTTTTAACATAAGCTAGACAAATTAGCTGTGCAAAAGGTGAGAACTAACAACTGGAAAAAGTACAGGTTTACCGTTTATCATCGGAATCGAACGAGCACAGGTGGATAGTTAGACTACCAGACTCAGATGATTAATAGGGAGTTTAGGAAGGTATTAACCTCATTTTAAACCTACTCATCTATCTCGTCAAACAGACGTCAGATTTTCATGGTCGCATCACCTCTCGGTCACCGTTCCTTGGTCTCAACGGATCCCCTTTAACATGGTATCAGCAATCGCGTTGTAGCTGGAAAACGCTAGCTGCTCTTTCCTATTAATAATATATAAGTGAATTTCATTTGTAGGCACACCTCGATCTGGTTCTTAAATGTTAAGACAATCTGCTTTGAATATCAAGTTGGTTGGAACTTTGACACACCGAAAGTTAGCTCGAGCTATTGTTGCCTCTATTATTCTAAGGACGAGCGACATGTTCTCTTTCAGTCTATCATCAACCTTGTCGTTGGGAGGCATAAGTTTCGATGAATTGGCTTACTACTTGCTCGCAACTACACAATAGCCAAGCAGATCGTTCTGAAACCGCAAGTCAGAAACGCCAGAAGCGAGCAAATGGGTTACTTTCGTGTGCTGGAATCCATATGTTTACGTAATGACCTCCGAGCTGATGATACCAATTTTCTCGCCAAAAGTAGCCGTATACATAAAGTGGGCCTTAGAGGATACCGGATGTTGGTAGCTTATGTGGTCCTGTGAGGACGCCGACACGACAGGGTGAGTCGTGCTGTTTCGACCTGGACCCATCCCTTATGTGGACCAGGGCTGCTTTTACTTCTTCTTCTCTTTGGTGTGTGTGTGTGTGTGTGTGTAGGGTGCGTTGCTGGGGCCTATCGTATCTTGTCGTTTGTCCGAGGACTCGACTGACTTCTGTTAAACTCCAGGTGTGCTTATAGGTCCCGTTAGGTTATCCATGTTTTACCTAGTGAAATGGAACTAGTGAGCTGGACATCCCACACTGGTATTCACTAATAATCCGTAGCCTTCAAAAGGGATCAGCTTTTCTAACGGTAACCAATGTGAACGTATGATATCACTGGAATTGTGGCTTTAGTATTGCCTATATTCTATGAGAAAAGAAAGGCATCAGCAGTATTTCAGTACGCAGTACCGACGCTTCGCTGCCGCACAACCACCACCGGTTGCACGTGGGCTAATGATATTGAGAAAGTCTCCCTGTCCCTACGCAGGCTTGAATCCGCGCCGTTAGATTACGAGACAGGCTCGTTACCCTTAAACTACGGACCTATAGGTAACTGTGAATGGGTAGACATGCAACAAGAGTCTAACACAGACGCTGCAGATAAGATAAATGCGACTTATGTATTTTACTACAAACTTAATCATCAGCACTTAGTGCAACTTCGGTTGACCTTTCAAAAACTCCAACAAATGTACCAACAAGATGGGACAGGACGTACGCTGCAGCTTACAGACACTTTGTCTAGCTTCCCAGTGGAAAGTATTGCAGTGCTATTAGCAGACGCAGCTTCTGATAGGATGAGAGCATCCGTTTCTGTCTCAGAGGACCATACTTCCTGCGACAAGTTAACAAATGAGAAGTTATTCAAAAATATTCGCACAGCTTGTCTGCATATGGGCCGCCGTTGAAAGTATGCTTATAATCGATGAGCCCTCAGAGCTAAAGAATAGCAGGAGTTTCTATCAGACCGCGGTACTACCGAAATGGAAGTCGTAGGTCTTCAATTGCAGGAGAGTGGGTGAGAATTAATCGAGCCGTCGTGCTCGATGTCTGTCGACTCCCACATGCTGTTAGGTAAACTCCTTTATGAGGCACTGTGAACGCAGTCATGTACTGCATCGCATATTTACTTACAGACACACGAATTAACTTGCAACTGTGTGGAGAAACCTCAGATGATCATGCTATTTATGTGATGTGAAGCATGGCAGCGTCCTTGGTCCTAACTTCTGTGTTGCGTATCCAACCATTATGCTGTTATACCTACCTCATTCGTGGGTATACCGTGTCCTTTCCAAGTGAAATATTGAACAACCGTCGAGTGGACAGAGGGACCCAATGTGTGAGGCCACTCTTTGGTGCACAACAAGAAAGAGTTGTAACTTGTGGTGTTGATGCGCGCCTCAACTGGGGCCGACGATTGACTCACTATCAACACTGGCAAGTATGTAAACATTTATCCGTAGTCACAAGGCGTGGAGTCAGCGTGCCACCTGCACATATGGTTGGAATGAATAAATCGGATGTCACCACTAATGAACGTAGTCAGCGGATTTGTGGAGCTACGCACCAATGTATTAAAGGCGCGAGCGACTTTCGGCAGAGCAGAACACCGGTAGCGAAGAACCTGATGGTGGTTCATCTCAAGCATATCATCACATTGGAGCAATACAAGAACATCCACTTCCCGGGACGATTTTGCCAACAGTCCCAGAAGTAGATTTGGTGCATCCGGTTGCAGGACAGAGTTCTTGGCACTTGGGTGATCTACATGCATGGACTGTGTGTGGATGCTGTAAAACCCTACATGGCTTATTCGGGTTTGCTGGATGAATGCGGCCAGAGTACCGATACACGTGCTATGTGTTCACATACACGAAAGAAACAGGAACACAAGAAAACAGAAGCTGTGCTATCAGAACATGATCAGGATGGGTTCATCAAGAACTCCCTTAAGTGCAAACGCTGATAGAGAATTGTCATGGAAAGCCGACAGGGGGTGTCAAATCAAGTCTATTGTCGTCCAGATGTGTCATAAAGGACTGCTGCATCGAGGACGGAAGCATCTAACACCTGACTAAGGGAGCTAAGCATAAGCTCATCGTCGTCATCTGTATACTGGTCAAGTGCGTGTGACTGTATGTGTGGTTATGTCGACTGTGCCCGGTTACTTATCAATGTGGTCATAAGGGATATAGATGGAAAGTTGAAGGTATGGTAAAACAGACCAGCAAAGGGCACTACTTTCAGCATCACACACTAACCACGCTGATAACGCGACGAATGGGGCGCATGTAGAACATCATCGCCGCGGTCACTCCATATTTGCGTGGTAAGAGTTAATGGTGAATGTTTGATGTTAATTCTCAGTTAGTGGGCTGGATTCGGCCCCGTTGAAACCGAAGCTTGGTGAGTTAATTACCTTGTCGTCTGAAGCCACTACATCAAATATTGATTCAAAACGCTTCCGCATAGTAGCTGCGGAAGTGGGTGCACAAGTTTCGTAACTTCGATAAGCTTTGGGCGTGGTTTCATCGAAGAACAGGCTACGGTTTATCCACCACCTGTTGTGTGATGGTAAGTGGGCTTTCAGATGGGCGAAACTGAGGCGAGACCGACAGCAGAAAGAGATTAAGTGACGCCAACGTGAGCTGACCAAAGTCGCATGGGCCAGAAGGACAAGGCAGAAGTGATTCAGCCTAGCACAATCGAGGAGCAGCTTGTCTGCAGACTTTGGGGGACCATATCGGCTGGACAGCAACGAGTGAACGCATACTGACCCTAACGGACCTTAACCGGTCGGTGTGATGCGCTGGTGCTGAATCAGTGTCACCCATGCGAAATAACCACGATTGCAATGGTAAGACAGACCAAACGAACTGGCGGTGCCTAGCATAAACTACGCTCAATATGGGCAGAACCGAGCAACGCGGACGAGCAGTACGTACTAGCCATTGAATCTAATCAGAACGTATACGACACGACAATGATGGCCCATGAAAAGCTGTCACTACGGAACGACGTCCCGAGCTTACACCATGCGCAAGTAATCCTACGTCTCACGAATAACACTATAGTAGAAGCGCTACACGCCGCTTTGCAAGCCTGATAGTCAATGTTACCCCAAATTATGTGCCAATGAGATGCGTGTTGAAGAAGTATAGGCCGGCTCCGAAACAATGGCGGCTGCAGTTCTCATGGCTGATAATTTTGTTCATTTTGGTCTACACTGGATACGAGGTGCATGGCACAGGTCTCAGCTAGTAGCTAGCAAGCGCTCTCACGAGACATACAAGTAACGGAGCCACCAAACAGCTAATCTTTCTGGTGGTTAAACCGCAGCCATAGATACAGTGTGAAATGCAAGTTCCCTTTCGCTTATTGAACTTGTGGTTCCACAACACGGATACACATATTTTCCACTGCAGAACTAAGTGTCGTAAGGTGTTATTGTGGTGAGTATCGAGGGTGGTGTGGGTGTTTATGCATCTTTTTCGTTTTTTGTCTATCTGTAACGGACGCTTCGTCACTTAGGCTCTTCTGCCTTACCATCCACTATCCGTACCACCCCCCATCACCGACCACATTACGCTATACTTTCAACCTGTATCATCTCTTCAATGGTATGTTCATTCTGCCGCCATTTGTCCGTGTTTCTGTCTCAATTTCGAGCAATTCACCAACGGGGTGCGCACCCGGAAGCTAGTAGGTGAAGAATCTCGGTTAAGGTTGGGGTCTTGTCTTACTCGAATCCGCTGGATCTGAGGCGTTTGAGAAAGATGAAGGCTATAATGAAGCCATTATTAGTGTTAGCGTTAGAGCATTACCTGAGGTTTAATCGTAATACTTCCATCATTCTGCGTTGTATTTTATCCACCGGTTCAATAGGTTGTACCGTAGGACGAAAATTTTGGGAACGGTCAAAGACACAACACCGTGACACAGTGTACGCATGCAAATAGATAGTGTGGATTGTGTGTTTGGTATGCACTTACCCAGCTTGGTAATCAAGCTGTACAGCAAACAACTCCGAATTGCCTTCTGTGGGTGATTCACACACTCGTCCATATCGCACTTCAATTATGTGTCCTTCCATATCGTTCCGGCACAAATGCGCCCATAGCTCCAAGAGTGCAAACGTTCCGCGTTCACCCTGACGCTAATCCCACAGTGTGCGTTAGCACCCCCTTGCGTCTGCTCCTCTCTCTCTCTCTACTGTCTGCGCTAGCACCCCTAGGCCTTATATTCCCACTCATCTGGCCTTGCACACACTGCGCTAGTGACACCAGCAATGTACCGACAATTAAATGTCAGACGGTAGCGTCTAGCCGTCATTATGCACAGCCATGGCCAGTTATACGAGGAGTGTTGAGAAAGAAATCGAACTTTTGCTATACCATCTTTATTGCTCATTTTACAACATTTATGCACTTCCTCTCTCAAAGTAATCCTCCCTACTGGCAATACATTCTTCCCAACGGTGCCTCCATTTTTGGGAAAGCTCCCGGAACGCACTTTCTGGGATGCCGTGCAGGTCTCTTGTCGCATTGTCCTGAACCTCCTTTATGGTTTGGAAACGACGTCCTTTCAACGTGGTTTTAAATTTGGGAAACAGGAAAAGGTCTGCAGGGACTAAGTCCGGAAAATACGGTGGATGGGGCACAATAGGAGTGTGATATTTTACTAAATAACTGCGGACAAGCAGCGATGTGTGAGTCAGCGCATTGTCATGATGCAACATCCAAGTCTGGTTTTCCCCACAATTCAGGCTTCGTTCTGCGCACAGCATCCCACAAACACGCTAGAATTCGGTGGCATAATTCTGGACTGATGCCCACTTCTTCCGTAACTTCTCGAACAATCAAAGGGCGGTTTCGACGGAGCATGGCACGATCTCTCTCGCCATCGTCATCGTCTGTTTAGGTGGAAAGTCGCCCAGGCTTGGGATCGTCACAGACCGACACTCTTCCGTTTTCAAAACACTTAAACCATTCATAGCATTGTGTGCGACTCATACAGTCCTCTCTCTATGCTTGGCCAAGTAATTGAAATGTCTCTGTAGAAGTTTTCCCAACTTGTGGCAAAATTGCACACATACACGTTGTTCGTTAAGCTCTTTCATTGACTCTTCGGCACTAATTGGACGAACAGCTTGTGCACGTGATAACTTCAGCAGCTGTAGCTTCCCAACCGACAGTCTGAGGGAAATGCGGCAAAAGGCAGTTTGTTGCCTAAACAAGCCTCCACATATGCTCAGAAGCCGCACCAACTTTCCTCTGCCGGTTGTTTCGCTATTTCAAAAGTTCGGCTTCTTTTTCAATGCCCCACGTAGAGTGCGCTGTACAAGCGCGTAAAGCGTGGGCCAACCTTTGAACATAACCCTGTCATGCAGTTGCATTGCTTTCGTGCTCTTCCTTCTCATGAAATTGTGCACTGCTGTCATGGTACATCATCATGGCAACCAAGACATTGTGGTCTGAAAACATCATTGACGCCAGATCCACACTAACAGGATATGCACGCAGCGCAACGACTGACCGAATAGAGGTGGTGTGCTTCTTTACCAAGTAGTGAACTTCCTCTTGATCCCATCCAAGACCAGGTACGGAGCGTCAACACGCTTTAGTGTTATCTTCGTCTAATACGCGGTGACATGCTTAGTGGTGTCGTGTACCACCCATTGTCGTCTACTTCGGGAATGATCTATTGTTTATCCTCCATTATGAAGACTTTCTTCGCACAATTACACTGTCAAATTCTCCTGGTCGGTGACTTCAATTGTCACGCCCTAGAAACCCAAGTCTGTCCCGATGAACACTTTAAAATGGAATTACTGGAGCAAATCTCTTACCCATCAATGTACAACCACGTTGCTTTTCCTACAAAATTATGTACGGGGAACGGACCAGCTATCCTAGACCTCGTGTCCACCGACGAAGAACTCATAGAAGCTATGGTATCAAGATGGTCTTCTGAGTCGCAGTGATAACGCAATGCTGCTGTTAGAGTACATCTGTTATGTGGCATGTTCCAGAGGAAACCGCGACAATTCCCAGCTCAGTACAGATTACCACGTTCTGAGCACCAGTGCAACTGCTTCGTCATTCCTAGTCAAACTATCTCCGGTGTTGAAATGCAACAAACTGGGAGCAGGCTCCGTGCTTGTTAGGGACAAAACCCTTCGTACGATGTCTCGATAGGATGCAGTTGGCAACCATATGGAAACCCGTATGGTCCCTCCCATTCCCAAGGGGAAATCGTGTAGATTCGACCAAGTGCCGCTTAAATGCACTACCTTCGGTACCTTCCAAAGTCGTGGAGGCCATTATATCTGGAACGCTCATGGGTTACATGGGGATTCAACATCCATGCACCGGAACAGCATGGATTCCGTAAGAAATGGTATCACACCACAAAACCACTCGCTCCAGTTCTACTGCAAACGTTAATGCCGATGTTCAAGTTAACGCGGCTTAGCTGAACTTTTCAAAGACGTCCGACCGTCTGAATCAGCAGACCCTCCTTCACAAGCTTCCAAGATACGGTTTCCGTGATCCAATACCAGGTGGACTCTCCAATTTTCTCTTCCAACCATCAGAGACGATTCCTCGTTCACAAGATTTCTCGCTGCACAATTTAGGTCAACCGCACTTTTGTTGAATTAATTAAAAGGCCAGATTTTAATTCAAGCAACTACGCTGTAGTATATCGGCGAACACGTGCGTAGGGTTGCGCCGTCATACAATACACCAGCATGGGGCGAGCCACTTTGTGGGTGACCCGGATCTACTCTCTATTCCACAGGCCGAATATCGCACTTCCCAACTTCTGCCTTGAGAACTTGAAGGCAGCGGAAGTCCCCTCGTCAGTAGCAAGTACTTTAACATTTCAGAATGAATGGTTCAGTGCTCACTTTTGTATCAAGTATGAGCTGCTGAAAAACGCCAGTGATTCTTTTATGCAAGCCCCAATTACCATGATCTTGTAATGGCAAAATTTCAGAAGCTAAATGAAAGCAGAGATTGGTAATGGAACTGTGGGTTTCATATGAGTTCTTTAAGTGATGCCTTCAGAAAATTTCTACGTTCATGATGGCGATGTAACCGACAGCAAAATATTAACTTCGAGTGATGAAAGATATGTACAAATCATACTCAGCTATACATACTGGGGCATATAATAAAGATCACTGAATGCTTGTATTTCTGCTACTGAATGTAAATAAAGGATCTTTCAGTCCACGCACCTAAAACAATCCGCAATGGTGCGGCTATATCATAGTCAACTGTCAATCACGCAGGCCCGCGGCTGTCACCCATGGCGAAGTGGCACTAGCTGCTGGCATCCTGAAGTCATGGGGGCGGAACCCGGCAGGGGTACGCTAGGAGGCGCACCAATGACGAGACCCAGAAGCACGAAACGCTGGCGTCTGGTGCTTTTCCAGACTAGCCTAAGCCTGCTGATTGGGAGTGACAATGATGAATTAGCTGAAAAGTATAATAATTATAAAGATAGTTAAATCCATTAATATACCGTAGGTTGGGTAGTTCAGACAGCACATAGATTTCATCAGTAATGGAGCAAAAAACGCTGCTGATAATCACGACCAACACCTACTTGACAGTAACTATCTGGAATTGGATGAAAGATGAGAACCTCTTCCGCATTATAGTTAGGGTATTATCGCTATCTGAGATTCATGCATGCTTATGCAACGAATGAAACCACAAACACGCACCTCGTCATGAACTCAGTGGTAGCGATCAGTTGACGAATATTGATTGCCAACTTCTGTATTGCAAGGATCTCCGCTTTTTTAACATCGGTACCATAGTTCTCCTCCGCGCAAATGCCAGGTAGATCACGTAGAATCAGTGGTAATAGTGCCCTCAAAATAACCTGCGGCAAATGAGTGGGGTAGATCGAAAATGTTACGGATGACAGCATTTGCAGCTAAACCCATCCTTCACCGATTGAATGAAGTCAACCAATGTCAAGGTGGCTTCGAGGACCATCGGGCTACGAATCACTACGCTCAATGAACACAAATAAAAGCTAGAGAAACTTGACGATAGCAATTAATATTATGTTCCTATAGAGTAATTTTCATGTGTCGAAGATAGGTAATAATCCTACTTTAACAACCATAGGCTGAACTGCAGAACTAGCGCTTCTCTGAAGTTCGCAGGTAAGCTGACAGTCTTCTTTACTTGTTTACAACATAAAGTTGGGAAAAATTAGAATGGGTTCAAGGTAAAATATATAATCAGTGTCATGGTTCTGTAAAGATTGAAACAGAATCCATGGTAATCCAATGGACGTGGTAAGCATTTTGTTGCTACCGATCCCGAAGATGAATTCAGGTGACGTGGTTGCTCACGAATGAAAGGAAAGAACATTTCTGAAGTAGCACATGGCATAAGACAGTTGCAAAAATAAAACCTTTTCTATACTTTGGCAAGTGTAATTTGATAAACATGGAAACTAAAAGTTTCTCCAGAAAAACGCCGAAGTTAAGCCAATTTATCACCGTTACATATCCTTGAAATGCACCCAAACTCTCACCAAACAAGTGAATGTATCCAGATCCTCGATAGTTCGCTGCTTACACAAGAGTCAGGGTGATATCAGTTGCATAATCTACAGAAAGAATTGTTGTGCGTAAATGTCGGAGCTACACCCCGGATGCTACGGGATTTATTATGGTTGGCGACATCCGGTTCCGGGTTTGTTTGTCACTGTGGCTTCCATAAGACATTCACAGGACGCCTACGCCTATAGTGAGACCACGAGTGTATTTCGCTGCACCACCCACAGATCCAAGCACACACCCCAAATCTGGTGTTTGCCCGAAGGAATAAGACCGGAAGGCATGTGGATGGCAGCCAAGTTTCATCAACGGAGCCGGCCCACACTGCTTCACAGGCAAACACAAGCACGCTGTATTTGGGAACTCAAGCGCACACAAGGCGGTGGATAGGCCGCAGCCCGCTCCACACGTAAACCATGTGCATAGAACCATTCTGTGAGCCTAACACTGTCACGAGGACCGTGCACCCCGTCCTCTCCAGAAACGACCAACCAGCTCCAAGAGCCAGGATAGACGAGGGGGGTGGTAATAGACAGGTAGTCAACTTGTCAACATGCACATCAAACGCTGCCACACCGGGGATGTCAAGAAACAGCCAATCACTTGAAAGGATGATAGCAAAAAATATTATTCGAATAAAGCATACGGCTATGCCAATTGAACTCTTCACTAAAGTGGCATATACGCGATGAAATCAAGGTGGCAGAAAAAAGGTCAAAAAATGTATGCAACAAATAAATACAAGCAACGAAATTAACCATCCTTCCTTTAAGCGCAGTGCAAAAGTAATTATAAGACAATTCAGATAGACCATTAAATGAATTAAAAATGAATTAATCATATATATATATATATATATATATATATATATATATATATATATATATATATATATATAGCCTGATGAGCCTATGGTTCGCTGAGGCTGGTGGTGGTTAGATCTTAACAGATGGTCTACCCACTGCTTCTACTGCTGTACCATTGGCTCATATCCTGAGCGCCTCCTCGTGACGACCGCTGGGTGGTAGCTGGGTTACCCCCTTCTTCCTGCTAAGATCCAGGACACCAATCCGCATGAGTCAGTGAACTGACCATGTGCTGGACCCGCTGCCTTGCGGGTGTTCATTTAATCGAAGGCCTTGGCTAAGGACCCGAGTCGTTCTCCTGTCAGGTGCGGGCGCCCTGCCAATATCCTAGTCCATCCTCTTCGAAGGTTAGGAAGTGGTCGATGTTCCCCTTCCCGTATAACCTAGCCATGGGAAACAACAGGTCTAAGGGTTATAAGCTCACAGCCCGATTGCCGTAAAGCACGAGCGCTACGCATTTTCTCTGATGGTGGTAGGGCACCTTCGGGTGATCAAATGTTTGCTACTGCCGGCCTCAAGCCAGGCAGCCACTAGTCAAATTGGTGCAAACCCGCCAAAACCCACCTGCCTCTGGCCGTGGTCGCAGGTGTATCCTACTACGGTCGCAAAACATATATAGATCGTTCAAGTACCTCAAAGGCTGCTTGTGACGGTTGTCAAGCAGATTCCAATCTGTCACTGCAATCACATTCCCGAACTGGATCTGCTCCCCACTGCTTTGTAGGCAAGTCTATTTAACCGAACGCTCTGGCTGAAGTTCCTCAAGCAAACCTCCAAATCACCCACTGCCTTGTGGGTCAGGCTATTGAGCCAAAGGCTCCGGGCGGAGTCCCTCAAGCAAACCTCCGAAGCACAACCACCACCTCGAGTGCGATTGCCCACCAATGCAGTCGTATGCCTGCGCGCAAAGCACTCAGCATCGGGTGCTGGAACGTGGACACACTACTGGACCGGAACTCCAGCGAGCACCCGGAGCGACGCACTGCTCTGGCCGCGATGGAACTGGCGCGCTACCAAATCGATATTGAAGCGCTCAGTGCAACCCGACTCGCTGAGCAAGGTAAGTTGCCTGAAGCAAGTGCTCGCTACCCGTTCTACTGGGTGGGAAACGCCACCGTAGCAGTACTTGAACATGGGGTCGGATTCGCAATATCCGATCGTCTCCATGGCCAGTTCGTGGATGAACCAACAGGCATCAGCGCGATTGATGAATGTTCGCGTACGACTCGGAAGATCTAAGTTTGCCACCTTTATAAGCACTTATTCCTCGACCATGTGTTATCCTGATGACAAGCGTGATCTATTATACGCTTAGCTATCCTCCGTGATGCCGTCTGTGCCGAGGAGCGACCGACTATTTCTGCTGGGTGATTTAAACGCGCGCGTTGGGCGTGCTGCATCGGTGTGGGCAGATGTTATCGGTTCGCATGGCATTGGTTCAGAGAATGCGAACAGTGACATGCTGCTCTCACTGTGTGCCACTCACGGTCTGACGATCACGAACACTCGGTTTGCACTGAGTGCGAGTGATATAGCAACTTGGACGCACTCACGCTCACCTGCTCGACTATGTCATCGTACGTCAGTGTGATATGCGTGAAGCGCGCATGACACGTGTACTGCGTGGAGCTGAGTGTGGCACTGATCACAAATTGGTGCGCACCAAACCGTACATATATTTTCGTAACTCTATGTATTGCACTCCAGCCGTGAATCGGCGTAAATTTAAAATTCTCTCCCTCGGTACTGTGGAGAAACGTATTGATCTGGAGAAGGCGATGGCTGCACGCCTGTGTGATGTGGACTGCATAGCCACAGTGGGCAACCTGTGGCACCACATTCGCGACCAGATGACAACTGCTACCGTGGAGAAAATCGGGCGCGCAAACTGTAAGCTTCCTGATTTCTTTGATGAGAACAATGCGACGATTGGTGCATTGGTGTCGGAGAAGAATGCAGCGTTTGCTGCACATATAGCAGACCATAGTGACTTGGGGAAGAGTAGTCAGTTTCACAAACTTCAACGGAGACTGACCGGAGAACTCCGTCGCATTAAAAATGTATGGTGGACGGAGAAGCTGAAACAGGTGGTATGCTACGGCGAACGCCGCCAACACAAGGAATTCTTTGACTCCTTGAAGGCGGTGTATGGACCGAGATTGGAGCTGATGATGACGCTGATCGATGGTGGTTCAGGCCCTACCTGCACACTGACTGCAGACGTAATGCAGATCTGGCGGAAACACTTTGACTGTCTCTTGAACAACCGTTCAGAGATCGACTGGCCTACATTGAACGGCCTCAAGCAGCACGATGTGAAGGCCGGTCTGGCGGACACGCAGACAGAGGAAAAGACGCAGAGCGCACTTACTCAGCTGCGAAACGGCAAGTGTGCCGTGGCCGAGGGAATCCCGCCTGAAGGATGGAAACAAGGCGGACCCGCGTTTTTGACTGCGCTGTACTACTTGGTGCAACGCGTATGGATTGAAGAGGAGGTGCCTCCTGAGTTGAAGCATGCCCTAGTGCTACAACTGGACAAGGGCAAAGGGAGCAAGCAATGTTACACGAATTATCATGGCATCAACCTGCTGAGTTTTGTGGGCAAGGTGATTGCCCGAATCATGCTCAACCGCCTCGTCAGTCAGGTTGTGGAACCTAACTTGGCAGAAGAACAGTGTAGAATCTGTTAGGGTCGCAGCACTATAGATATAGTGCCTGCTGCTCGTCAGTTTCAGGAGAAATGCAGAGAACGACACCAGCTATTGTACTCGCGTTTTGTTGATTTCACCAAAGTATTTGACACAGTGAACCGCGAGGCATTGTGGCTGATGTTGGGTAAGTTTGGTTGCCCGCGTAAGTTTGTAAGTTTAATTGAATATCTGCACAGTGGTATGCGAGCGAGGGTGCAGCTGAGTGGAGAGACGTCGCATGACTTTGCAGTGGTATCTTGTGCAAAGCAACGCTGTGTCTTAGCTACTGTCCTGTTTAATATTTACCTTCACGCAATGATGTCTTGTGCTTTGGATGCCGCTTATGCTTATGATGTTCGTGTGGAGCGTCGTATTGACGGTAGGTTGCTGAACATCCGTCGTTTCGGTGCCAGAACTCTAGTCCGTGAGACATCTATCAGTATATTGCTGTTTGCTGAGGACTGTGCATTGTTTACACCCCGCGTGGATAAGTTGCAGCCCAAGCCTAGCGCTCTGGCTTCGACAGCGGCCAAATTCGGGCTCACCATCAACACAAGCAAAACTATCTGTCTCTTTCAGCCTTCACTGGAGGTGCAATCTTCAATATTGCCGCGAATCAGCATTGGTGCTGAAGTATTGGAAACTACCCGCTTCTGTTACCTTGGGAGTGTGATTGCGACTGATCAGCAGCTACACATTGAGCTGCGTATCCACATGTGGAAGGCAGCGGCGGCATTCGGGAAGCTTGAGTAA